TTACCCTCAGCTAATTTGCTTTGCGTTAACTTTTCATTCAGTAACACTGGGAATGTTCTTGCCTGCCTTCATCCTTCCTTCTCTGTTCCAGAAACATAGTGGAAGTCCCCAGAGAGTTTTAATTCTGCCCTTCTCTGCAGAATTAAAAAAGCAGATGTTTTCTTCTGGTTGCAGGAGATAAGACTGAGAAGTAATTATTGTTCAGCTCCCAAGTCCCACAGGTGTTTTCATTCCTGCCCTGTGACCACAGGAAAAATAAACAGAAAATCTGAAAGGGTCTAGTTGAGGTGCACTTCAAGTTCAGACTTGAAGTCAAATGTGTGAATACCTCCTGCAAGAAAAAAACTACAGAGGAGTAGGCAAACTTTTCTTGTAAGAAACTAGACGTTAAGTATTTTTGAATTTGTGGGACTTAAGGCATGTCTTCACTACTCAGCATTGATGTTGTTGAGTGAAGCAACTATAGAGAATATGTAAACCAATGGGCTTGGACAGATTTGGTCCAGTCATTGTTTTCTGGCTCAAAAGGTTCCCAAGAATTAGATATCTACCAACAAAGAAACAACTGCATGAGTTCTTTAAATAAACAACAGTGAACACATGGGAAGCTTGTTCACAAAGCATTTTCACATATATTATTTCACTTAATCCTGAAGTGAGGATTACTCTAAGAGGGTGGCATATCAATTTTTTTTTTTAATCTTACCCGTGAGAAAACTAGATTTGGGGTGTTAAGGAAACTTTCTTGCTTTTCAAGATCAAACAGCTGATCTTGATTTTGGTTTCAATGATCTTTCCATCATGCAACCAAATGCTACATAAGCAATGCACTTTATTCAGATCAAACAGAAAAAAGCATTAATAATAACAATTTCTAAAAATAGGCTATGAAAAAGTATAGGGAGTGCTCAAAAGAATGGAGAAAAAATCCTTCAACAATAATCCTCACGCTCTGTTTAATCCCCCTGTGATACTAACCCAAGAATTAGCCCAAATTGATTAGCCAAATTGCCCTGGATCCCAAGAATTCCAAGAATTAACCATATAGGCCTAGTTCACTCCCATCCCAAACAGAATCTTAGAAGGACTTAATCCATTGTTTGGGGATAAAGAAGGAAATCCACCCAGAAACAGTCCACACTGAATCACACGCAGGAGGAGTTACTGGTCAGGCTCAAAGTCAACATATAGGAAAGATTCTTCAGCTACCAAAGATTGTGCAGACAACTATTACTTAATTATGACAACTATACAGAGTCAGAGTATTTCATTAGAAAACACAGATATACCATCTGTTCGGGAAACATAATTTAAATGATGTTTTCACTAGACTTAGCCTTATAAATTTTAACTCTACAATGTTCAGCTGAAATGAGAGTCTCCATAGAAAATAGGGCTGATAAGGCATCTATAAGTGATAACCTTCATGTCCAATTCAATTCTGCAAGCATTTACTGAATGTCTACTGAGTATCGGGCACAGCAAAATAACCTCTGCCCTCAGGGAATATATACTGACAGAGTAAGAATAAACACATATATAATGAATTACAAGGTAGAATTTGGGTTAGGAAAGGGTATATTATTACATGGATTTGAGGTGGGGGAAAAGAGCTGGAGAGAGCAAAGGAAGGTTTCATGAAGAGAATCAGGGAAAATTTCAGGGTGAACTGACAGGCAAAGATAGAAGGCAGCTATCTTATCCCATGAACTGGATGAACAAGGAGAATGGGGAAGAAAACTGAAGGGGAAATTGATGCGGTAGGTGTCTCAGCGCTTACTACAGAGGTCAAAACTAGAAGTCCCATAGATCATATTTTTTTTATTATTCCTATTTAAAGAAGGAGATTTCATTTTATTTTTTTTTGTTTTTTTTTTTATAATAAATTTTATTTTTATATTCCCCATACAATTGCAGCCCCCCCATTCTGACCCCAATCCCTCCCCTCCACCCCCGCCCCCCTAAAAGTGTCTCTGGTTCGTAGTTTTTTGTTGATTTTGATTTTCACTTTCTTATAGTTATTCGTTTTCCTGTTCCCTTATTTAAGTTTTCTAGATTCCTGCTATGAGTGAGACCATCCGGTATTTTTCTTTTTCTTTTTGGCTTATTTCGCTGAGCATGATCCCTTCCAGTGCCATCCATGTTGCTGCAAATTGCATGTGTTTATCTTTTTTGAATGCTGAGTAATATTCCATGGTATATATGTACCACATCTTCTTGATCCAGTCATCTATTTTTGGGCATTTGGGTTGTTTCCAAAGCTTAGCTATTGTAAACAGTGCTGCTATAAACATAGGGGTGCAGGTGTTCTTTGGAATTGAAGTTTTGTGTCCTTTGGGTAAATACCTAGGAGTGGAATTGCTGGATCATATGGAAGCTCTATGTTTAGTAGGTCCAGAAATCTCCACACAGCTCTCCACAGTGGTTGGACCAGTTTGCACTCCCACCAACAGTGCAGAAGAGTTCCTTTTTCTCCACACCCTCGCCAACATTTGTTGTTGCTAGTTTTTTTAATATGTGCCATTCTCACTGGTGTAAGATGGTATCTCATGGTAGTTTTGATTTGCATTTCCCTGATGACAAGTGATGTTGAACATTTTTTCATATGCCTGTTGGCCATTTGCATTTCCTCTTCAGAGAAGTTTCTTTTTAGCTCTTCTGCCCATTTTTTGACTGGATTCTTTTCTTTGTTGTTGTTAAGTCTCATCAGCTCTTTGCAGATTTTTGTGATCAGTCCTTTATCATTAGTGTTGGGTGCAAAAATGTTCTCCCAGTTGGTGGGGTTTCTCTTTGTTTTTGTTATTGTCTCTTTTGCTGTGCAGAAGCTCTTCAATTTGATGTAGTCCCAGCTGTTTATCTGCGAGATTTCATTTTATTAAAAAAATTTTTATTTTAAATTTAGGGTTATATGGACCATATTTAATGTGGAAATTTTTTATTTCCTTTTTGGGTTTACATAGTATTTCTTTAAATCAATTTCTACATTCACAAGTAGGAAACTTCACATAATATTAGATCATTTCTGGTTCCCTTAACAAACTAAAAGAGCTACCAACCAGAGACTAACCATTTTGTCCTGTCAACAATTAGAGCTATGCAGAAGCTGACTGTGACACAGGGCTATCCTCTCCCATTTGTGTGGTCCCCTTCTGATCTATTGGATCTGCTTCTATTACCTACAGGGCCTTGGTAGATACCTGAATTTGCAAGAGCTAGTTGAGAACACATGAGGTTTTTCTGTGAATTTGAAACAAATTCAGTATGAATAGGAAGGTATTTAAAATTATCCTATTCACTTCATAAATACATAACCAACCATTAGGCATAAGCCATGAATTAATGAAATAGGAAAAGCAGACTGAATTACCTATATGGTGGAGAAGACTGGAAAAGGTATTGTGTTGCCTATAAGCTGAAAATTGTTAATTTGATTCAATAAACAATGGTAAGCAATTAAAGGTTTTTGTACAGAGGAGTGATATAATAATAGCTAATTCTGGATTTTTCAAAAGATGCTAATTCTGACTAAAATAAATTTTACAGGTTATATACTTTGTTTCAGTAAACAAACAGGTTATTTTATGAAACGTATTGGAAATAAATGTGCTGTGAAGTACATTTTTGTTTTGATTTATAACTTGGTTGACCTCAATTTGAATCATTTGTCCTGTAACTTTTTTCAGTGCTTTACATGAATTTCAAAACATTTCCCATAAACTCAACCATAAATATATGTGGAACCATGATCATTAAAATACTTTAGTTTTACAAGTTATGCATTTTCCTATTACTTTCTTTTTCTCTATACCACTTACAGGCAATTATTTCCAAATGGAAAATAATTCATGCTGAATATATTCTAAAGTCCATTTATAAATAAAAGGCAATAATTTCTGAGCTATATGTATTCTAATGTTCACATTTGCTGTTGACTTTTTTTCTGCCGTTAGCTACAAAATGCTAAAATGTCCGTTGATTACATAAGGGATGTAATTTCGTTCACAACATATATATTTGAAGAGTAAGCCTTTTGAGTAAATAGTATCTCTAACAATGACAATTTTTATTCCATAATTAAAACATTTATGTTTTCTTTATATAGTTGAAGAATAAATTTAGCAATTTACTTATAGCTATCTTTTTTAAAAAAAAGAGAAGATTTATTTATTTATTTATACAAGCACTGGGTACAGTCAGAAGCGCGGGAGGGTGAGAGAATTCACCAGAGCTAGAGCGGGGAACAGAACAGGCGGACTGATGAAATACACTGCTGAGGGGAGCAGTGGGCACGGCAGGAGAGGTCTGTGCACCATGTGGGACCCTCGCCGGCGGCCGGGGATTGAACCGGCGCTACAGAGACTGCGGGCAGCTTCACAGCCCAGCGCTCAACCGCTGAGCCACCAGGGGAGGCCCATAGCTGTCTCCTTCTTAATGAACAAGGTAATTTCAAGTATTTTCCTGATGATAATTAAATTAGTTCCAGCTCTCTCACTATTCCTAACAGGTTATGTCACTGAATGGATACATGTCATCCTGTAGCCTTTTTATTTTCCACTTCATTTTTCCATTCTATTATCTCTCCTCTCCTCAGGGTAGGAGATACTACATTTATGAAATTTCAAACCCTACATTTGGGCTATTGGCCAAGAATAAGTCTAGCAAAAACTACTAGTTATCTATCAGCTAATGTTATTTTTCACTTTTACTGCTACCAGAACTATTTGTTTTTAGAACTATAGTATCTTTAGTTTATTACAAATGTGCTTGAATTTGACAATTATGTGTGAATTTCATGTATTTTTATTTCTTATTTAGGTCCTGCCTGGAGACACATTTTTAAATAATCTCCTCTCAAGGCAAGGGATCTTACTTAAGCCAATAAATGCTTATCCTTGACAACAGAACCGCAAAAGAAAACTAATTATTTTGATAATCACTGGGCTTCTGTTAAAGATATCACATGTATGTACATATTTAGGTGGTGGTTGTGCCATTCATACCTCATAAATCAAGCTGGCAATTTCTTGTAATCATTTGTGCTTTTCACATCTGAATCTCCTTGGTTTTTCAATGTCTTCCTTGTGCTGAAATCTTAAGATCAAAAAATTCCTGTATTATTCCAAGAGGTTCACCAAGGAAATATAAACAGACTTGACTATATTGTCCTTAATCTATAATGTGATTTATTTGCTTACTCCACCTAAAATCTGGCTTTACATGTTCTCTGCACCCCCTGGCTTTACATGTTCACATGAAGTTACTATTAGTCACTGGGGTAATCTAGTCCATTTTGCATTACAACTCTCCAAATTTTTCATCCTGTGTGAATGTTGGTGTTTCACTTCACATTTTCCAACTACACTAGCTCCATTCATCAAAATATCACTGTTTGGAATAATTCTTTATGCATCATTAGTCATAAAATTTTCTTTTTCACATTTTATGTTCATACACAGTCCAGTTGGAATTTGGGGATGATTTTGAGAGTCCCTCTTACAAATAATTGCATCAAACTCCAAAAATGTTACTTATGTTGAATGGCCTTTATATAATCATTTGCATCTGTAACTTATTCCTGTGGAAGGTATTAAGTTCATCTAGCATCACTGGAGTATGTGATTTCTACATATTCATGATGTACAGAGTAAAGCTATCTCTATGTGAAGCAAGGAATCAAAACTCTAAATTATTCAGAGATTGACAGTACGATATGCTACATTTGTAAAGAATGTCACTGATCACATACCGTAAACAGCCTTGGCACATAACTTACGATAGTGTCTTTCAACTCTCATATTTAACTTTTTATGTCTTGTCCCCTGAAATAGTTTCTCAATGCTTGAGAGTATGGAGCGTGTGTGTTTTAGGATTTTCCATAGCTTCTAACACTATCCAGTGTACATAACAGAGGCTTAGCAATATGTGAAGTAAGAATAAAGGGGAGTGAAGGGGAAGAATATAAGCTATGGGAATGAAACTCGCTGAACACCACCAGGATGGGAAAACCAAGGGACAGGATCACCAACTCACTTGTCACTAAAATTTCTCTGGGGAAGGGGAAAGGTAGGTTGGAAGATGTAAACTAATCAAACACTGTTTATGCCTTTGGGGAGAAAAAATTCAGAGCTATTTATAAAAGGAAAATGATCAGCATTTAAAGAGGCTGAAATAAATATGAAACGTAAAGTATGGTTAGTTAGATAGCTGTAGTAAATATTTAGCATGTTTTTGACAGTCACCCATCTCATAGCAGGGACTCTGTGCCTGTTTGCAGAATCCGTTAATAGTAATATCTCATCATTTATATGAACTCAATCACATGCCAATCACCAACCAAAGGGCTTTAAATCAAGCATCTATTTTGAGAAACTCATCAAAGTTATATGACCAGGTAATCAATTTATCTTATATAAGTACTTATTTAAGGTATATTACTGAAGCTTTGCTATAGGATTATGATATAAGTACAATTTATGATGTAAGTACTATGAAAATCTCTATTTGCACATTTTTACAAATGAGGAAACTGAAGCTAAAACTGATAAGTCACTGACCCAAGCTTTTACAACTACCTAGTAAGTGACTGGACAAAGTTTAAACCCAGGAGCTGTAACTCCAGAGCCTGCATTTAGTCTCTACTCCAGAGTCCAGAGATTCTGTTCCAAAGTATTAACTCAGAATTATGCAATTCTGTTTTTATGTTCCAACCCACATTAGCTATCAGTAAAATTCTGGTAGTTGAGTCAGACAGATAGACAGAGAGAGAGAGAGAGAGAGAAAGAGAGAGAGAGAGAGAGAGAGAGAGAGAGAGAGAGAGAGAGAGAGAGAGAGAATTTCATGTATGTATGTATACATACAGAAAACAATACCCAATAGAATGACATAGCCTAGGACCTTCATTAAGAGATTTCAGAGGAAGTTTCTTTTTAGCTCTTCTGCCCATTTTTGACTGGATTATTTTCTTTGTTTTTGTTGAGTCTCATCAGCTCTTTGTAGATTTTTGTGATCAGTCCTTTATCCTTAGTGTTGTGTGCAAAAATGTTCTCCCAGTCGGTGGGGTTTCTCTTTGTTTTGGTTATTGTCTCTTTTGCTGTGCAGAAGCTCTTTAATTTGATGTAGTCCCAGCTGTTTATCTTTGCCTTCATTATCACTGCTTTGGGTGATGTGTCTGTAAAGATGTCTTTGATGTGCATCATGTAATGTTTCGTCTATATTTCCTTCTATGTATTTTATGGTTTCAGGTCTTATGTCTAGTTCTTTAATCCATTTTGAGTTGGTTTTTGTGCATGGTGTTAGGTAGTAGTCAAGCTTCATTCTTTTTCATGTAGTGACCCAGTTTTCCCAGCACCATTTATTGAACAAACTTTCTTTGCTCCAATGCATATTCTTTGCTCCTTTGTCAAAAATTAGTTGACCATAAATCTGTGGGTTTATTTCTGGTCCAACCACTATGGAGAGCTGTGTGGAGATTTCTTGACCTAATAAACAGATCTTCCATATGATCCACCTATTCCACCCCTAGGTATTTACCCAAAGGACACAGAAACATCAATTCCAAAGAGCATCTGCACCCCTATGTTTATAGCAGCACTATTTACAATAGCTAAGCTTTGGAAACAACTCAAATGCCCAAAAATAGATGACTGGATCAAGAAGATGTGGTACATATACAACATGGAATATTACTTAGCATTCAAAAAAGATAAACACATGCAATTTGCAGCAACATGGATGGTGCTGGAAGGGATCATGCTCAGCGACATAAGTCAGAAAGAAAAAGAAAATTACTGGATGGTCTCACTCATAGCAGGAATCTAAAAAACTTAAATAAGGGACCAGGAAAAAGAATAACTATAAGAAAGAAAATATCGAAATCAACAAACAACTATGAACCAGAGACACTCTATGGGGGGTGGGGGGTGGGGAAAGGAGGGTTTGGGGTCAAAATAAGGGGGTTGTAATTGTATGGGGAATATAAAAATAAAATTTAAATTAAAAAAAGAGATTTCGGGGGGGACTCCCTGGTGGCACAAGAGGTTAAGCACAGCACTATGAAGCTATGGCAGCCTCTGTGGCACGAGTTCGATCCCTGGCCGGCCAGGGAGCTACCCACATGACGCAGCAGACCTCTCCTGTCTCACCCGCTGCTCCCCTCAGCAGTGTTTTCAGTTAATCTGCCTGTTCTGCTCCCCACTCTGTGTCTGGTGAATCCTCTCACCCCCCGCACCTCTGGCCTATACCCTGGTTCTTATATGCATAAATAAATAAATCTTTAAAAGAAAAAAGAGAGAGACTTCTGGGGGATGCCAAAATGAATACACAGGAATGGAATTATATGTTTTTTGCTATTCTCAGGTCTAATTATAGACATCAAATGATAAACACTATACCCTAAGACATACTAATTCCTTTAAAGAACCTTAAGCAGTGTCAACAAAATAATAATTTATCTCGTTTTATTCTGGTCTCCATCAACTCTAACTGGTCCCAGCTCTTCTACACTCCTATCTCTTATGCTCTAGGCTTGTCTTTCTTTGTTTTGAGGTCTCTAGGATCATTTTTAGGTCTTCTCATTTGCAAATAACCCATAGTTCTCTTTAGGACCCCCACCCAACTCCAGTGAGTTTCTTCTGGGCCTTTTTCCCCCTTCAGAATGCAGAGTTCTAGGCGCTTGCCCTCCTCATTTGATTTTGGCTCAGAGAATTCTGTCCTGCTAGAGTGCTCTCTGCCAATTACTGTCTCTTTGGCAGGTTGGATCCAAGTGTAGATTTAATGTCCACCCTGGCTGAGAGTGAGAACAGCTTCCTGTTTTAAAAACAGATTCCCAGTGTTTCCGCCATAATACTTTGGAAGCAGTGGCTCAGGGACATCACTCTTGTATCCTTTCATACCCAGCCCCTATAATGTGAGCCCCATGTCTACCCTGCCATCCATTTTCACATCCTCAGATCCTCTCCTGTGTCCCTTAGGACTAGCCTTTGCCAATGATCTGTGTCAGAGTTCTTTGTTGCTTTTCCATCCTTTCAGATTTCCTGGTTCTGTGGTCCTGGGCCAGAAAATCAGCCTTAGATGAGTCTGAATTTCAATCCATACACACCCCACTGTCCTCTGCTGTGAATAATTCAATGATTCTGCTGTGGTTCTGGTCCTTACATTTACACTGAGGCCATCTTTCATTAATCTTTTAGGTGTTGCAAAAATATGAAGTACCCCAAATGCTTTATTCTGAAATGTGAGTGAGAATGTGTGTGATATGAACTAGAAAAGCTGTGACTTCAATCATTCCATGGATTGTTTTAAACAATGATGTGCTTGAGAAACAAGACAAGTCAGGGTTCTGCTATCATGGAATTTACATTTTATGACTTTGTCATTAGTTAATATTTATCAACTACATTGGCTATAGAAAAACACATGAAGGTGTTTGGAGCAGCCAATAAATAACATCCCTCTCTCCCAGTTGCATTCAGAGCCAATTTGGAGATAGAAGAGACAGGAAGATGGAGATCAAATCAACTGCTTTATTACTGTTACAGCTGATCAGAGAACGTGGCTTTAGATCTGCCTTACTGCCGAATTGAAAAGATCCATTTCCTTAGTCACAAGTATGTTTGCCAGCTGTAGGCCATTTCACCTTAGAAACAGCCCTTCCCACAGGGCAAAGAACTGGTGAGAATGCATATTCACACTGAAGAAGAAAAGTCAAGAAGGGGCTCAGTCCAGTATGTTCAGTTTCTCCTCTTGAACTCACAAAACAGACAGCTGAAGGGAGAGACTAGGAGTAGCAGCAGAAATCCCATTTCAGAGGATCGGGAAACCCAGGTGATTGCCTATACAAATAATAAGTAAAACTCTGAAATACAATATAGTTGAGTCAAGAAAAGCTTACTTATCTTTAGAACACTAAGGATTGTTGAGATTTACCCAAGACATTGTAATAAGAGTCATGGTCCACTCGTTAATTAGCACTGGTTTTGAGAACTTGTGCCTTGTAATGGTTCCAAGTAAATGGTCATAACACTACAATAGCAGTGACAATCATGTCAAAAGCAAAATGGTAGGTGAGGCAATGATGTGTAGATCAGAAGTCT